GGGCTGAGGGGGGGCGTGCGTCTGGGGGCTTCAAGGGGGCCCTGGGGGGGGAGAGAAGGGTTTTGCTGTTGGAGGTGAAGACTGGGGGCTTGGTGAGGAAGGGGGGGTTGGGGAACAGGAGCAAGTGGGTCCCGGAGCGACGTTGCGTGACGCGATGTAGCGATAAGCTGAATGCCCTAGGGCCGCGCGGGCGCCGTGGGCTGTAGCTCTCCGCGTTCGCCTTCTTGTGGCTGCCTAAGCACCTCCAGCTGGTCCGTCCGCCACCGAACATCCCATCTCTCCCCTCCTCTCCTCGCCTCGCCTCTCGGCCTCCCACTGAACCCCCCGGCTGTGTCACAGGTCATCAACGGCAACGTCACCAACACGGCTGCTCGTACTGCCGTACACCGCCGCAAGGTGGCGACCTACTACTAGGGGGAGCGTCCGCTGCAATGCCACTGGACCCTGAGTTGGTTGCACCCTCGTGCTTGCTTGAACTACCGCAACCACCTCAACCACCACAAGCATTGTCATGTCGGAGTGGCCAGGGTGGTCAGTGGGGCCAAGTGGAAGCTTCTACATAAACATCTTGCAACAACGAGGAAATGATTGAACAACACGTGTGTGAGGACACGGCGTGTATGGCCGTTGTTAATGTCGTTTGTGGTGGTTGATGATGGTTGGCGGCAGTTAGGACCTCCTCCGTCCTTTTTTGTGTAAGGCGTCGTAGCCGTTCCGTGACGTCGTTGGTACGGCAAACATGGTGGTATATTCGTCTGTCTGTATGTGTCTGTATTTATGTCAGTATGTATCTTTAGCGAGAACGAGCCTCTCTGTCCGCCGTTTGTGTGTTTTGCAAGTGATTACGTGTACGTGTATGTCTTGTAATGGAAACTGGGTGTCTTTGTAGATTTAACCGGAAGGGGGGCCGGTTTGAAGGCGAGGGGAAAGAGGGAAAGGGAGAGGTTCCGGCGCGGGGCATTCAGGGGCTGGCGAAGTCCAGGTGCTGCGAAGAGGAGGAGAGAGGAAAGAGGATAAAAGAGGGGTGAGCGGCTAGCTGGGTGGGTAGGCGATTGGTGTGGAGAAAGGAGCTAAATGCAAATACGGTCCCCTTGCTTTTTCGCGCGTGTGTTCGTTTGTATGTATATATGTATTTTTGTGGGTGCGTGAGTTGCTGCTTACGTGGCAGCTTATGACGAGTTCCCTCTGAGCTAAAGCCCTAAGTCCCGTGTTGCTCCCTCGTGGGTCCCCCAGAAGCCAACACCGGGGTTGCAAGCGGGCGGGGCCGGATGTATATCGAGTAAATAAACATGTTTGTGCCTGTGTTCACGTCTAAGTTTGTTTGTGTATGTGGTTTGCGGAAGGGCGTAGTAGAGTGTCCATGTTCCCATCCTTTCCTTTCCAAAACCCGCTACCCACTCGCTCACTCACTCGCTCACTCACTCGCTCGCTCGCTCGCTCGCACCGCTATCTAGGGGTCACTGTGACACCGCCACTTTTTCGTTCCATCCTGGACCTCCACCATGCGGCTGTGGATGATGGTGATGTGATGGTGGTGATGTGATGGTGGTGGTGGTGGTGGTGGGCAGCATTAGGTTGTGAGGGGAGAGCAGGAAGAGATGCTATGGACGGGATGCGGGAAAATTAGGAGGAGGAGGCGGTGGGGTGGAGGGGAAAAGGACGGATGGCTTGCGTTTTGGAGAGTCCATCCAGTCTGGAGTTAGTTGGAGAGATCTGTCGAGGGCTTCATTTTGGGGTAGTAGCCTGGTGTGTGCATGTGTGTTTTTGTATTGTCCTTTTCTCAAGACAAGAAATAAAAACTATTTTATACATCTTGTGTGAATAAGTGGTGCCCCGACTGCTGGTCGTTGATGAGGACTTGATCATCATGTGTTAAAACTTCTTTTGCCGATAGTAGTAGCCCTGTACGACACAGCCCTGTACGACATGGGCACGTGTCGCACCGTAGGGACCGGCGGCCCGTAGCGACGAGGTCAGTGCATGAAGGTCGGAATGGGTCTGAGGGGGTGCATGGCGGTACAGCCGTACGGGATACGTCGGAGCTGGTCAGTGCTGATACCCTTTTGGCGCCCAGATAGGATTCTGCGCTGGTGTCGTAGCTGCGGCTGCAGTTGCGGTTGCGGTTGCAACGGCTTCTGACTGAAAACGTATGTATTCCTTCCCTGTCTCGTCGGGAGGAGGACAGAGAGCAGCTACGATGATATGATGCCCCACTTGCGAGGTGGTAAGATGAAAGCATATCTGTCTGAATGTATGTTTGTATGTATGTATGCGCGCATGGTTTGCGATGTGTGTCTCGCGTACATACACAAAAGGGTGCGACATCAGCAATGCATGCTTGTTAAGAGTCGATGCTGCGTGGCCCACACCCAGTGTGAATGGGGTACGAGTAGTACATACCGGATGGGTAGGAACTGTGTTACCGACACCCTCGTCGGTTTCCTTCTTCCTGGCGAAATTTTAAAGTTAATTCCTGGCGAGAAAAATAAGAGCAGTAGCCTGAAATTGTTTGTTTGGTACGGCACCCCAGGGTGCGCTTGGGCTGCCTAATTTTCTAAGAATGCATTCGAGTTCGGTATTGAGGAGGAAGAAGCTTACGGAGAAAAACAAGCGAGGACAAAAGACGAGCGGTTGTGGCGAGCTATCTACACAATGTGCGTTGAAAATGCATGTATACATCAGATAACGTTGTGTTTTGAGTCCTGTTAGCGGTCATGATGTGGGTGAGCCAGGCGATGGGTTCGCGTATCAATGCGCCAGTGCGTTGAGGACCCTGGCATATGCATGCCCTGGCATGCGCAATGCTTTTTTAGCGGCTGCTTAAGTGATGCTTTGCACTGCAACTGTTGCCGGCTGCGTTTTTGGTTGTTGGAAGGTGTGTTGATTTGGAATACAGACTCCGCTGTTGCTAATTGCATCTCTGTAAAACCTTTTACTACACCGTTTGGGAAACCTTCCATCCTACTGAATCGCACGCCGTATAAAAGGTCGCTGTCCTCACTAGCAGCGCGTTCCTGCGCTCGATCGTGCCAGTAAATGAAGACTTAGCTGTGCCAGGCTGTGCTGCCACACTTAGTAACACGATAACTTGTGGTTGGACAACGGCTTTCGATTAAGATATTAGAATTATTTCATTCGATAATGGAATACATCGTGGATGCATCATGGGTCCGAAACGCCTCCATGCAGCATTGTATCCGCTGACGGGCCATGTTAGTAAGCGCGTTGCAGCCGTGAGCCGCACGGCTGCAAGCGGAGCTGTCAGCGAAGGCGGCCATATTGTACTTTGTTCTCATCTTTTAAATGCTTAATTCACTCTGGGGTGTTGTTTATGCACATGTCTCAAAGCAAGAACGAATCCAGAAGTGATAGTAGCTTGCTGTCAGAGGGAACGCTACCCACAGTTGATAGAATCAGCGTGTTGCCATCTGAAACGTAAATGGAAATAAGCTTAGGATTTTCACGAGAGTTATTAAGCTGCGATTCCTAGAAAGGGTTGGACGTTGACCCAAGGGCGAATTACTTGAAAGTTTCATATCTGGTGTATTAAAACGTTTGGTAGAAGTTAAACCGAGGTTAACAAATTTTTTTTTGAAAATAGATACTAGGAAATACACCAATCGGACCGTCCAAATGATAACCATCGTACAAAAAGCTCTTGCAGGAACGCAGGAATTTTGCCTGATGACTATGCGACGGAAACCCAGTGAAAATGTGTTGTATGATTGAATATTTGAGAGGATATTTGACCGCAAGCTCACCTTGCATTCCTGAAAACAGGAGGATCGCTTCTTGAACGTCCGACAGCACTAGGGCTTTGCACCGCGTTAGCAACGCCGACAAGGTGCGCATGTGCATGTAACGTATGTATCTTACCTTGATCACCATGACTCCAATGCACGCGTAGCAGTGGAGTTGCTAAACTTTCAGGCGAAACAACATCGCCGCATGGTTAGGCAGACCTAGATTAAAATTTGCGATGAACCCCTAAATATCGGCCCAACTTATCAAACACGTTTCAACAGTTTTGCATTTCCACGAGATTGCCTCGCGATGCACGTGCCAATACAACCGATAGAACCATCGTCGTATTCACAGATTACCAAGCCCGTTTGGCAGCACAAATCAGGTGCTTCACTATATGTAAATTTATTAATTATCTGTTGATTTCACGTACGGTGTCTCTTGATGTGAAATATCACCAGCTGCGCGGATGATAGCTTCTGCACGTGCATTTCACATGCGTACCTTCGTGCGCATCCCGCTGGCGCGTCTTGCTGGTCCCGCCTGGCTGGCCTCTGCAGGTTCCGTCACATGCCGCCACGTACTCCCATCCCCCTTGTCAAGGTAACGTAACCCTGTCTGGCGACGCCCCTGCCATGACCTGCCGTACACCGCAATTCTCTCGAATCACAATATCCTCCGGCCCAAACCCCTAGCTTATGTATGAGCATAACAGCCTCACTGGGTCATTTCCTAGGGTATACTCAACCGGACCACAAGCCGGACTGATTCGCGTATTGGCAATAAGACTTCGGTCAAACCAAAAGCAGCGGACAATTTTCCATCGCGTCTCCCAGCGGACATACCTAAGGCCCTCTCACGACTGGCGTGTTCGTATGAATGTAATTTGTTAAATATGTTTTAAAGGTCAGAGGTAATTGAGAAGTTTTAACATTATCTCTCGTCTTTCCTCCCCTCGGATTTTGTTTTTTTCTCTCGATGGTCAAATTGACGAGCGGCACAGGTCGATGTGAAGAAGGCGCCTTGGGAGCAGGAGCAGAAGCTGCACAATCGTTGGCATCCGGATATTCCACCGGTAGGTGGGCGAGGGGGAGATGTACAACAGGCGGGCGGGCGCCGAGCAGAGCCTGAAGGAAAACTATGCATGGGCTCCCTTACATTAACTGAAGAACTAAGGCCGTGTGTCAATTGGGCGGGAGTAGAGAGGTTATATGGGCCCTTTACCCCGGCCGTTGCACCTTCCCCGCCGCCGTCTGGCCTCCATCCGATATCGATGAAATGAAATTGAAGTCACGAGCGCAAGAGCATTCCACAGTCCTGGCAAGAGCATTCCACAGTCATGGTTTCCCTCCTTATTAATCCCTTGCCTTGCAACCCTTGATTGAACTGATAGGCTGCTCATTTGGGTTGTGGAGTCCTTTTCCAACCGCCTATGTCAAACTTCGGAAGTCCCTTCACATTGCAGAGGCGAAAACATAAGTCCCACGTAGGAAAAAATTCACTTCAGTTTTTAGGTTGTTTTAATACATGGTGATATGTGTGTGTATGTATGTATCTATCTATCTATGTATGTAAGCATGTATGTTTATCCATCCTTTTTTAAAGCTAGCCGTAATTCCCCCAACTCCCCTTCATCAGGTGGCGGAGGCGAAGACGGGTGACCTGTTCCGTGTCGAGACCATAGACTGGACAGGCGGCCAGATCAAGGACGACGACAGCGCTGAAGACGTGAAGTGCGTTTTATAGCACTGTTAAGCTCGGACAGCTTAATTGTCCGCCTATGTGACCCGTGGGTCTCTTGGACAAATAGTGGACGGAGAGAAAACAACAAAGCACGGGATTTAGCCCAACAAGCCCCTGCGTCCCCAGTTCACCTGACAATCAATCAATCAATCAACCCATGCTACGGCGGTAGCTCGGGTTGATTGAGCCGCAAGAGATATAGCTTTTACTCTGAAGCAAATTATTTTCAACGACGACCTGTCTTCTGGGTCCGCAACCAAACATGACTCACATTCGTTATGCGGGCGTGGTCCATCTGTTCGCGCCCTCTCCTTTTCCCCAGCGTTTCGCCGTTCGTTTCCTTCGTAACTCTAATCCGGGCCCCCGCCCAACCCCGCCACGGCGGCCGGCCTCATCACACCAGACATGTGGACTTGAGCCGCTGCCACTACCTGTCGGGCCCGATCCGAATTGTGGACGAGCAGGGGGTCCCCGCCCAGCCGGGAGACCTGCTGGCAGTGGAGCTGTGCAACCTGGGACCCCTCCCTGGAGACGAGTGGGGATACACTGGTAGGTTTAAGAGGGTTTTAGGGTTTTAGGGTTTAGGATTTAGGCGGGAAGGAAACTAATAAAAAGCCCGCCAATAATACAAAAGACTTGAAGGGTGTCGTACCATGCCTGACTGTACCGCCCACGCAGCACAGCGGAATGATGCCCAGGATAGCATAAAGGCCGCCATGGCTGGTTCTCATCGATGATTTCATTTACCAGAGCGCGTTTTCCTTGAGCTTTGCTGTGATGGACGGCCGTGGTGTGCTGCTGTACAGGTACTTTTGACCGCGACAATGGCGGTGGTTTCCTTACGGATCATTTTCCCGAGGCCACCAAAGGTGGGGTCGTGGGTTGCGGCAGGAGGTTACACGGGTAAAGTTGTGTGTATTTGAGCGTGTCTTATTTAGGAGATAGCCCCTGTAAGCTTCTGTGAGCATCTGATGGCCGATATATCTGGGCCTTATACATGCCTCGTGCTGCGGTTCTGCTTAGGAAGATGGATGTGAGCATGAATGTTACGTGTATCATGTATGTATGTGCGTGTACATGTACATGTACATGTACATGTACGGGGGTAAATCCTGATCAACAAGGGATGGATACGATGCACGATACCACGCGACGGAATATACAAAGCAACTGGCAGCTCGGGGCCGCGCCTGACTAACTGCTCTCCCTCCTCTCCCGCCTTCCATCCGTTCGCCCTTGTGAAGCCATTTGGTACTTCGACGGCGTCTACGCCGCCTCCCGCCACATTCCGGGAGTGCGGTTCGCCGGACTCATCCATCCCGGGTTGATCGGTGAGCAAGGTGGTGTTCCAGCTGCTTTTGGTTTATTTTATGTGTAAACAGAGTGTGTGTATGTGTGTGCGTGTGGATTGTACGGATGTACCTACATATTAGGTTGCACCGCTTGCGGTTCGTATGTGCGTGGCCATGTGTGTTACATACACCTCCAGGTTGCGTTAGTTACCCAGATAGAGAGGTGTAACGAGTGCCCATACACGAGCCAGCAGAGGCCCAAGAGCCACAAGCTACTAGATTAGGAACATGGTAAAACGCAAAAGTCCTAGCATCCAAGCAATAGACGTAGAGGGAAACAAGGTCACTAATCGACTACGACCGCCTGAGAAGACACGGTGTGCCGTATGTAATAATAAGCCAAGTGCTGTGTATCAGGTGGGCCAGGTGGAATACGTGTGGAGTACGCATATGCGTATAGCTCGGACTTGAGCTCAACGCCCGGGACACGACCACGACCCATGTTTCCGACCTATTTAGCAGCAAATGACTTCACAGGCATCTTAACAGGCATGTCAGGCACGATAACCGCCCCAACGGTCCGACCGTCGCAAAACCGTTGCGAGGTTCCCTCCCCCCTTTCCCGGGTTCCCATCTCCCGCTCTCCCCCACGAAGGCACCGCCCCCAGCCACGATCTGCTCAAGATTTGGAACGACCGCGAGCGAGCTCTTGTGGAGGGCGGCGAGGGCTCCACCACGCTAGGCGGTGTGCTGCACACGCGGCCCCTAGGTGTGTGTTTCATCACGTGTGTGTTTCATCACGTGTGTGTTAGTTATATCATGACTTCAGAAAAGTACCGATCGGCGGATGCAGATCCCGTGAGAAGCCCTAACGACTTATACCCGCCAGACCCGCCTTGTGCCGTACTCCGTACAGACAGACCAGACGTTCAGGCAATAGCAACAAGGGCCTTCGTGCAGTCGTTTGGAAAACGTGTTAGGCCGTCAGGAAGAAGTTCCCTCATTGTATCCAAATCTGCAGGTCGGCAGGTGATGGACCCTCTTGGGCCGATCCACATGCCAACCAATGTTTTCCTCGAGGATCTCGGCCGCCCCGCGACACCCCTTCCTAACTTCCCCCTTCTAACTTCCCCTTTCTACCTTCTACCTTCTAACTTCCCCTTTCTACCTTCTACCTTCTAACTTCCCCTTTCTAACTTCTATCTTACTCTTGTTCCGCAGCGCTGCTTCCTGAGCCCAAGGGGGCGTTGCTGGGGGGTATCTCTGCCAACTCGCCCGACTGGTCGCGTGTGGCGGGCGAGGCGGCGCGCACCATTCCCGGTCGCGAGAATGGCGGCAACTGTGACATCAAGAACCTCAGCCGTGGCTGCAAGGTGGGGAGTGTCTGTGTGTGTATGTGTGTCTGTGTGTGTTTGTGTGTTTGGAGGATCGGGAACGACAACGTCGCTCAGGTGGATATATGCGCACCTAAAAGTTAATCGCTTGTATTATGCGCGTGAATCACGACACACAAGCCTGCTTTTATGATCCCGAGACCGAAAGCCCTGAGTTGCCTGTTTTGGCTGCGGATATCGGTGTGTGACCTACGGGCTAAGTACAATGGCGACCTGGTATTTTCCAAACCCCCGCCGCGCTGAGTTCGCTGCAGCCCTCTCGCTGCAGCGTTTACCGGCCTCCCTTCCGTTCCCAGGGGGGAAACTATCGGGACGAAATATCCCACTCCAAAGATAAGTCTTTCCCTTAACCGCCATCGCGCCAACCGCTAACCGTCGATCGCCAACCGCTCCAACCTTCCCAACCACCTCATTGCGCAGGTTTATTTCCCGGTATTTGTGGAGGGTGCGAATCTGTCCATGGGTGAGCAGTACGGGATGGGTGTGGGGAAGGGTGCTGGTCCTTATCTGCGCAGTGCTGCGCTGAGCTTGACTTGGCTTGGCGGGAGGAAAGGCTGGCACAAAAAGCGAGGGTTGCAATGTTGTGATGACGATGCCCCGTGGGTCCCCTGGCAGTCGCGGGGGGCTGTTTCGCATGTACGACAGCCCATATCCCACAGCTTCCCCCTCCACCCATCCTACTTTGCTCCATCTCTCCAATTAATCCTGCCGTACACTGCCGTACACTGCCCCGGCCCTCTCTCGCTCTACCTTGCTCTACCCCGTCACGTTTCCGTTCCTTCACTTCCGTTCCTTTCACTCCCCTTTCGCAACCATCTTGATCAACATCCACGCCGGGCATGCAAAACCCTGATGCGCACTCCTCACATTTCCACTCCCCCAACCCACCCCATTACAAGGTGACATGCACTTCAGTCAGGGTGACGGTGAGGTCTCCTTCTGCGGCGCCATAGAGATGAGCGGCTTCCTTGAACTCAAGTGCGTACGACAGCAGTACAGTAGTACGGCCATACGGGGTTATGGTGAGGGATCATCCCCACGCACCGATCGAGCGTTCATTTTAATCACACACATACACATGCACACACACACATTTCAGCGCGTCTGTGTTTTGTGCGCAGCTGCGCACCGAGTCTTATAAATGGAGCTGTGCGTGACAAGGCCCATTGCCACGTCCATCCACGGGCCCACAGCGTTGACTGGATCTGAGTCTTGTGTTCGTTCGTTTAATCTTCGCCCCGGGGGGGGGAGCTTAATTCGCACACTGGTTGGCCTCGTCTGGTTTTGTTGCGCTTTTTTTTTAACGCCGCATTTGTACGGATATTGTATCTGTGTGCGGGCAGGTGTGAGATTATCCGCGGCGGTATGGAGAAGTACCTCACGCCCATGGGCCCCACCAAGCTGCACGTGCACCCCATCTTCGAGATCGGTCCCTTGGAGCCCCGATACAGCGAGTGGCTCGTGTTCGAGGGAATCAGTGTAGATGAAACAGGTTTGACACACCTCACCTCACCTCCCGACCATCCCTGGACACGGGAATGGTCGGTCGTATAGCTCCTGATGCAGACCCAAATGCTTGGGCTGGGATTAGCACACATGCGTACACACGTGCATGAGTACTACAACTGCCTACAATAATAATAATAATAATAATAGTACGCCGGCCGAGGCCTGGCGTGTGTTAAGGGGGTGGGGAACTGAGGGGCGGCGTAGCCGCTCCTGTATGCCCGCACCACCGTGTACAACTGCCTACACATGTATGCATGTATGTATGTGCGTACGAGGGGGGTTGCTCATGATCCAGAAGGCCCCTGTTTTCAGCACTTTGGATCCACGCTGGAATCCGGATCCGGTTACACATACGGTGTTAGCTCTTCCAGTGGCCGCCGCAGCACCGCCCTTGCCTCTCCGAGTTCCTCAGTTCCCCGCCGATTGCCTTTCTTGCTGCAGCATCATGGACCCATCCCCGCCTTTGTGATCTCCCGTCACCCGTCACTGCTTTTGTACCCCAACTGCTTTTGACCACTATTTACTCCACCTTCCCCTGGGTGATCACCACCAACGTCCTCACGTTGCCAGGCAAGCAGCACTACCTGGACGCCTCCGTAGCGTACAAACGCGCCGTGCTGAACGCCATCGACTACTTGTCCAAGTTCGGCTACACCAAGCAGCAGGTACGTGCAATACGCGTAGTATTGAGACAGATGGGCGGAGTTTCCGATGTGTTGTATGGGTCTTAGCTTGGTTAGTTCGTTGGGTCGTAGAGTAAATTTTGGATGGATCTTGGTTGTTGGTTGGTTGATGTTGTTACAGGGTGGTTAAGCTTCACCAGTGGCCTCCTTCCCGAGGCAGTTCCCTGCTCTCCCCTGCTAGAGGGGCACCCTAATCCATTCACCGGCATCCAACCAAATCTAGCGGATCAACGGCGCGTCAACTTAGTTCCTGGTCTGCTCGCATGCTGATTTTATCACGTCCTACACCGTCCACAAGATAGGGGGCCACCTCCCAATTCATCACCTCTTAAACACCCCGAGAGGTCGGCAGGCGGATTTGAACCCGGACGCGCCGGGAGCAGAAGCCAGGCCTTAACCTCTGCCAGCCGCCTGGATGGTTGTTGGTTGCAGGTGTACCTGTTGCTTTCTTGTTGTCCTTGTGAGGGGCGCATCAGCGGCATCGTGGATGTGCCCAATGCAGTGGCCACGCTGGCCATCCCTGTAGCTATCTTCGACCAGGTGCAGTGGTGGGGTGAGGTGGAACGGGCCGCGTCGGGTTAAGGTTTGCATGCGTGCGTTTGTGTGTGTTTACGCGGGGGGAGGGGGGCAGGTGGACGAATATTGAGATATGGTTAAGTGCCGATGTTTAATTCCTGTTGCTTGTGTCTCGGCTTGGGTTGACGAAGAGTGGGGGTCAACTTTTCAGGGTAGCGTGAGAAACCCCGAGGGTAGTTTCAAGCACAAAAACACATTTCCGTGGATTCTGTGCCCAGTCCGCTCCCAGTTATGAGGTTACAATCTGGATGGTTTGTTCCAAGGTGTTTGAGCTGATGAGGACTGTCCTTTGGATTGCTCGGATTGCAACGTCTGTGCAGGACGTGCGCCCGAAGCCCGGAGGCCCGCCTGTGGGTCCACAGCTCGTCCGGCGGGGTGATGTCGCCAAGTCGACCTACGAAGGTAGCAAGCCACTTACGATTAACGCCTGTATGTGCGGGTCTGCACATTAAAGACGCCGATGCATTTTATACTGAGCAGCACGCCTTGGATGGTGGAATGTCAGTTGCAAGGACGGCCCAAATAGCATATGACAGCTCACGAATTAGTAATCATGCGCTAACCAGCGCTACCGAGCTTGCTAGGGTAGCAGGAATGGATCAAGAAGGATTACACTTTATTTCTACGCTGTGCAGCCGACCGGTGGTGTGGCTGACATCGAAGGGCTTGGGGGAGACTATCACGGGACTCATAGGCGCTGTGAATTGAAGAGCACGCCTCTTTGTTGCAACTCTCCGATACTGAAATGTTCTTCGAGATGTGCGCGGAATGTCTTGATTTCACCCCATCACGGCAGGACAGTTCTCGATGATGTTGGCTTTGTTCTAACGTTGATTGTAGGTCATGTAAAAAAATGTTTGCGTTAAATTTTGTTGCATTGTTGTGAGACAAAGGGTGCGTGCGGATTCTCCAAAGTTCGTGGCCAGGATGTCCGTCCTGGAAGCGAATTAGATCATTTCCTACCAACGCGCATACAAAGATGTGACGATTGCCTTATATCACATGCATGCATCCAAGCTTCTCCAGAATGCAAGTCGGAAAATCAAGCGGAGTTGTGTCTTCATCGTAATCCTAAACAACTCCTAAGCCGCAAGTATGTGATCGCAAATACATCTGAATCAAGGATGCTTGCTTGGCTTCGGCACCTGGCCTTTTTCTCCTATCGCACTATCAGAAGAGTTCGGTAAGGCGAAACCAGAGGTATCTTGAGTCCAATGGCGCTTCCATATGTACTCCTTATTTCGGTGCAATCATAGATCACACAAACGCGTACATGCAAACATATCCATACGACAGGGGTCCACCAAACCGCCAGCAGCCGACGAACGCGTGAAGTATGCAACTTATTTGCAAATTTGTTGCTAAGTATTAAGGAAATTGGCGTTCGAAATCCTCAGTTCAATGTACGACGAAGGCTACTGCCACGGAAAAAAATTGTGCCTGAGCCGCAGCGTTTCCCCATTGGGCAAAAGGATACTCAGAGTTTACCCTTCTGAAGTGCCAAGCTCGCTACGTCTAGTACAACTCCCGTGTCAGTTAGGCATCCTTACCGTAGGAAAAGGACTCAATAATTGATTCTGCAAACGAAGCTAAGTTATACTGTCTTTATGATTGTAGAAATTGTGTTGAACTTGTGGTGATGCTCCGTCCAACCTTACCGTTTTAACGCTCTTCTTTTATGGCTGTTTCGCCCAATCATTTTGCGTAGAGTAAAATAAAGTATAGCATTGCAAGGAATCGCATCGGGGAGAGCTTGATATCTGCCTTTTGGTACTCGGTACGGCACAGAGGTCCCCGGCAGAAATTACTCCAAACCAACGGCGCCTTAGTTTGTTAGCATAAATTTACACAACCGCTATATCGTCTTGCGGGAAGTCATTTCAGCCTTGCGCTCGTCATAGTTTTTTTTGAGCACTCTGGACGCAGCAGCCGTCAGCGGACTTGCCGCTTGCGATATCTGGATCCGAGTTGGGCCAAGTGGATCGAAGGGAGCAGCTTACCTTGTTTCTGGTTCATCAGCGCTATCTTCGGAGGGAATTCGACGAGGGGAGGCTGCGGAAGGCCATAAGGTGGGGTGCCCCGGTTGCGCTTGCTTGTAATGCATGATTACAAGCGTTACAGCAACCCCAGCATGCTACGGAAATAAAGGCTTAGGCATCGCTAGGGCGCACTTTTCTGTATGGCTCCAACGGGTCGAATGGACTGCTTTGGCTTCCGGTTCTATGCAGAACCCACCTACCGGGAAAATGTATTAACCTGCATGGGTATGAAGGGCTTCTATGTGCACTTTAGCCGGAAACTTTCGACCCGTCCTGGATTGCGCACCCCCGGGCTTCCGCAAAGGCATAACCACTTGTGTACGCGCACATGCTGGAGAAATCTTTTCATCTTAACTATTACGTCTTGCGCTTGACCCGCTGATTTTGACCAACGCTGTCCTATGTGCCTATGAGTAAACGCCGATTGTGGTGCTGTCGTGACGACGGTTGCCGTGTGGCTTTTTGAAGCTGACGAAGGGAGATCGTATGCTTGGCATTGCAAATGCTAACAAAATGCGAGGCGAGATGGACTGATTTGGCCTAGGCGGTTTTTGTGCTTAGCAACGAGTCAGCAGGCATTGCTTGGCAAGCGCATGACAATGATATTGAAGGGATATCTGTTCTTGTTCACCTTGTCGATGGGAACTCCGACCTATTATCCAGGGCTAGCTTGGGCAAGGATATTGTTGAACATATACCTGTATGCTTGCAGCGTAGCGCTATATTGTTTGGACTCCATTATTTACGCATTAACCTCCATTAGCTGTATATCGCTTAGTTCCTGATACCCGCTTCCACTTATAAATCGGCGGTGGGCCCATTGTCCTTGCAACGCTGCGGGGCAGTTCTACGGCCTTCTACTTTAACGATATAGTTTGGTTATCATCCCAAAATCACTGCGCGGCACGAGCGTCCCTCCTTGGAGCATGCGGGTTACAGGCCCGCTCTGCTTCTCGGCCGGACCCAGCTAGCTGCCTAGCCCATGCTCTGCAGTGGGGCCCATCCCCGCGCTCATTCCCTTTATAAATTCTACACATGCGTCCCTTTGCTTTTTTCATCTCCCCTTTCCGTTTAGGCCTCCTGTCTTATGCCCTTAAACAAAGGCATCAATCATTTCGCGCGCTTTCGTCGCATTTGCAGGACGACCTGCATCAATCCAAATCCTCGGCAGACAGCTAGGAGTTCCATTGGTCTGTCCCTCTGACCCCCTGGCGCGAGCTACTGGCGGACGCCATGGAGGTGATCGAGGATGGCATGGATTTGGATGCACTGGCCGGGGCCCCGGGGTCCGACTTACGGATCGCCAAGGCGGTTCTCCTGGCCGAGGCAGCTGTCGCAGGCCTCGACATGCGGCGAGCTCGACCAGCGATGGCGGTCATGGAACCTCCGCCGCCAAAGACGCGCATTGACGGCGGCGTCATGCCACCGCCGCCGTCACCTCATTCCGGCGGCGCCAACGGACTGTCGCCGGTTCCTATCCGGATGCCGTACGAGCAACTCAACGGCGGGATCGGCGCCGTCGGGGATCGTGGGGCACCGCTCCCGCTTGACATTGGAAGTCTTCAACAGTTGCTTCTTCAAAGCGGCGGCGGAGGCCTGAGCAGCATCAGCCAACAGCAGCAACAGCATCATCCGGCAATGATACTTCATCTTCTGATGCAGCAGGCCCAGGCAGCGGCGATGGCCAACGGCAGCAGTGCTTCGTACGGCATCCCGCAGGGTACTACTCCCCGTAGCAGCGGCGGCGGCAACGACCGACCCGTCGGCGGTGCCGTACAGAGCACTCAACCTGGCTCGGCCGCCACGGCAAATGGACGGATTGCTGCTGCAAAGGCGCCGCTGTCGGCCGCCGCCAAGGGTGCCATCGGCGGTGGCAGCGGCGGCGGTGGGCTGTACCGATCGGCGGTTGTGGACGGCCACCTGTTGAGCTCCCGAGGTCATCACGGCGGCGGCGGCGGCGGCGGCCTGGAGAGCACGTTCGCCGTACCGCCGTCGGCACGCAGCAGCGGCGGAGGCGGCGGGTTCTTGGACCCCAGCGGGCCGATCAGCGGCAACGGCTTTTCAACCAGAGGTGTAACGATAACCGCTGATGTGCTAAAGGCCCTCTTCGCTGCTAACGGACCGCCGCCACTGAGCGGATCGATGAGCTCGGGTCTTGGCGGCTTGAACGGAGCGACGTCGGCGTCCGCGTCTGCTGCTGCGGCGGTGGCGGCGGCGGCAGCGGCAGCGGCACCCGCTTTTGAGCCGTCAGGTTTGAGCGGCGGAGCACACATCCAAAATCTCCTTCAGCAGGTCAGTGGTGGACTGGGGGAAGGACGGGGAGTTGCTGGATCCATTGCCAACGGTGCCGTCAACGGCTTTGTCGGCGGCAGAGGCGGAGGTTCAAACGGTGCACTGCCAAACGGTTTAAAAGGTGGCGGCGGCGTTGACGTAGACGGCGACGGTGGTGGCGTTGTTGGCGGCGGCAGCGGCGGCGCCAGTGGTGCGTCGTTGCAGTCGCAGTCCGTACTAGTACAACAACTTCTTGCGCACCTGGCGGCGCTCAACGCCGCCGACGGAGGCGGCCTGCCCGTCGTCGGCAACGGTGTGGGTAACGGAATCAACGGATTAGAGGCCCTTGCCGGCGCACTGAAGAACGAGCTTGGTGGCGGCGGTAAGGGTGGCAGTGGCGGCGGCGGCGGCGGCACACCCGCCAACGCCAGCGCAGGTCCGCCGCCGCCGCAGCAGCAAGGCATCCTCCATGATGGCCTTTCGAAAAGCTCCATTTTGAACGGCATCTTGAATGGCTTGCCGCTGACGGGATTGGGATTTCCGCTTGGGGCGCTGGCGGGGCCCGGCGGCGGCGGCGGCGGTGCACCGCTCAACCACATGCTCTCTGTCGCCTTGAACGGCGGCGGCGGCCGGCAGTCCATCAGCAACGTGGAGGGCCTGGACGATCCAAGCTTCGCCTCCGTATCAGCAGGCACCGCGGCGGCGGCGGCCGCCGCCGCAGCTGCCGTACGGGATGGGAGCGACAGCCGCGGCATTGTCAGTAATGGCGACGGCGGCGCAACCTCCGCTTCGGGCAGCGGCAGGGTCGGCGGCGGCGGCAGCGGTGCACGACCGCGGCGGCATAGCAACTCAGAGTTTGGTGGCGGCGGCGGCGGCGGCAACAGCAAGGGTCCTACGGGGTTGCAGCTGTTGAAGAACCTCGTCACTTCTGGCGCGGCAGGCGCTGGGGTTGCTGGGCTGATTAACGGGTCCGGTGGGCTGGCGGATCTTGCCGTACTACCCGGCGGCGTCGCCTTACAGCTTTTGGAAGACCTGGAGTCGCTGGGTTGCCCTTTGGGCGTGGGTGGGGGTCTCAACCGGCGCGTCGGCGGTGGCGTCGGCGGCACCATCAGCGTCGGCAGCCGCTCGGGGGACCCAGCCTCGCGACTCGGCAGTACGGCAGCGTCTGGCGTCGTCAGGAATCGTACCATGCCGCCAGGTTCGTCGTCACCAGTCATCAAGAAACCCAACAAGCGACCGGAGAACGGCAGCTTGGCGACGCAAATCTTAAAGCGGCAACGTCATGCGTTGGCGATGCAGCAGGCGTCCGCCAGCGACTCCGTCAGCACCGTCGGCGGACCGTCCATCAGCCTTCCTGCGCCGCCGCCGCCGCCGCCGTCAGCTTTATTGGCGGCGATGGATCCGAGCATGCTTATCGGTTCCGGCAGTGGCGGCGGGCTGGGCGGGTTGGTCAGTACGGGTGGTGCTGTACAGGGGCTTCCCAGTGTGCTGGGCGCCGTGCCGTCAGCAGCAGCGGCGGCGGCGGCCTCAGCGGGTTTGCCGCCGGTGACAGCGACGGCGGCGCTGCTAGCGGCGCAGCCCGGCGGCGGCGCCAAGGCCACCGCGCTGGCTCGAGCTGTGGCGGCGGCGCGGAACGGCGGCGGCGGCGGCAGTAGCGGTCTGCTGTCAAGTCTCACATCTCTGAGCAGCGACGGCGGTCTCCATGCTGGCGGTCTGAACGGTAGCGGCGGCGTGGGGGACCCCGCTTTGGCGGCGGCCCTGGCGGCAGGGGCTGTCGGCGGCTCTTGCATAACCGCCCCCGCCGCTGCCGCCGGCACCGTCGGCGTTACGGCTGCTCAGCGACGTGCGCTCGGCACGGCGGGCGTGGCTGACTCGGCGGCGGCGTTGCTGGCGACGTCCTCCGGTCTTCATCAAGGGCTTGGTCTCGGAGCCAGTCTGTTGCTAGGGCAGCCAGTACCGAAGGGCCGGAGGTGCGGAGTGGGACTTCGAGGGGCTCCGGGGGAGTGCGCTCTTGAACACAATCTTATGTGTCTTAGGGTTTTATGGCAGACAAGGAGGGGCAGAGAATAAGGTTGGAGCGGTGGGCAGCGGGAAAGCGTACTTGGATTGAGCTGGTCGAGCGGGGGGCAGCCGGGGTAGGGGTAGGGGGGACGAGGAGAAGGAGGGGGAACCCGTGACCGTATAAACGAGGATGGTGCCGGTTATATCGGTGCTGTTGCTCCCCCGTCTTCTCTCCTTGTCCTAAAACCCTATTGCCATGTGTGTCGTACCGTGCCGTAGGAGCCGCCGTACGGCACGTGCAACGGGTCCGATAAAGATCCGCAACATCATGAGGGATATCGGAATCCATGTGCTCAGAAAGGCTCCAGGGGAGACTTGGCCGCATGAGCGCGATTCTCGGGGGCCGCTCGTGGCGGCGGCGGCGCAGGGAGGTAGCAGCGGCGGCAGTAGCGATGCAGGCAATGACGTCAGCGGAGTAGGCCAGCCGCCGTCAGCAACGCGGCGGCAACGCGGCGGTGGCGTCGCCGCCATGGCGTCAACGGCAGCGCCGCTGCTGCCGTCGCCGTCGGCGGCCGCTGAGATATCAGCAGCAGTAGCGGCAGCGGCGTCTCGCGCCAGCTCTGGCGCGGGGACAGGGAACGGCCCGGCGCAAGGCGAAGGCATGGTCGCTGACGGCGGCGGCAGCAGCAGCGCCGCCGCCGCCGCTGCCGCTGGCAATGCTGCAGCCATCGCGGGTTTGCCTTGGGACCTGATCGCTCGCAGTACGGCAGCTGGGATACCTCTTGCAGCGGCTGTAGCGAAGGCGCTAGGGTTACAAGGTTCTGGATCAGGTCCCTCCGCCACCATCGCCCCCAACGCCAGCGGCGGTCTAGCCGCCGGCGCCGCCGGTGTGGCTGCGTTCCTCTCCGCTGCGGCGGCGCCTCGGAAATCCGCGACAGCAGGGCAGCCGCCAGCAGCTCCGAAACCACTTGTCGCCGTCAACGGTAGTACGGCAAATGGCATCGTCCCGACCCGGCCGTCGGCGGCAGCACCAGGGGCCGCGGGCCGTGGCGTGAATGGCGGGTCGACAACTGGGAAGGCAGGTACGGCAGCCGGCAAAGCGGCATCGGCTTCGGCGACAGGGGGGTTGAAGGGCACCTCCGCTGCCGCTGCAGCCGCCGCCGCCGCCGCCACCGCTCCCACTAAGAGCCGCCGTAAGGGTGGCGCACCGTCCCGCGCGGCTGACTAATGCCGTGATCGACCACACGGCCGGGGGGGGATCTCCTGTGGACTAGGATGTTCCACAGAGTTGTTGCCGTACTAAAGCGAATGCTTTAGGAAGTAATTCTTCAGGTATTCTTACTTTCTGAAATTACCCCGGCAGGAACGGATGCGAGTGTGCGTATGTATGTACGTACATGTACGAGTGTGTGAGGCTTTAAGTTTTTGAAGGTTTTCAAAAGATGACGTCAAGAGTTAGAAACGACCGTTCTAAGGGGGGCAAAGCTGATGGGGTAATGTCATGGGGCGGCTGACTGGTTACGGAAGGAAAGTAAGTAGAAAAGTGTGTGTGTGTGTGTGTGTGAGAGAGAGAGAGAGAGAGAGAGAGAGAGAGAGAGAGAGAGAGGGGGTTGCCCGCGGGGGATTGTGAAGATATACGTATTGTGTCGGACGGCCGGTAGGTGGGTAGAAAATGTAGGAGGAGTGCGGCTATGTGGGTCGCGGGCTGTGGATGTTTCTGGGTAGCAGAAAAAGAAAGTACGGTTGAGGGTGGGTGGGTTGGGCGTGGAGGAGTTTGGGTTTTGCGATGGTTGCATTGATTACGGTAGTGCGTGTGTGTTTCTTGGGTTTTGGAATTGTTGCCTTCACCTCGTCTGAGTGATGGGCAGGGGGCTCAGGAGAGCGCTTCCGGGGAGGGTCGGTGGTGAACGAGGATTTTGCAATGTACGAGAATATTTTCGTGCGACATTGAATAATATGTACGGCATGTACGGCAGTTGTTGTATTAGATTGTTGGCTCCAACCGTGGTTGTACGTACTGTTTCAACCGTGGCGTGCTGGAGCAGGCTGTGTTGCCGTACATTCTTGCGCCGTACGGCACGATGGCTTCCGCGCATGTGGCTTGCACGTGCCTCCTGCCTTGCCCCACTTCCCTTTCTTCGACCCCTTCATGTCGCATTATATTATCATGATTACCCCTCCGTTCTTTTGGCTGTTGGACTTCAACTTGGATCGCCCTTCCTTTCCATGCAACCACCAACTAACCAACCAACCAACCGAATGGCAGCAACTGAACGGTTTTTTCCCTCGTGGACTCTGGTGCTGAAGTGCTTGTCGCTCTCGGCAGAGTCCTTGATTGGAGCGTTGGTGATATGATTGTCGCGAGGGGCCTCTGTGCTGCGCTGAGCAGGTCTTCGTGCAGGGCCATGCGTGGCGCCTCTTTTTGTAATGCCTAAACTCGGACTACCGGTGTGGAGAACAGCTGAAGGGGGAAGGCATCTTGGTGTCGTATGTGTGTATGTATGTAAGTATTGGTGGAGGGAGATGAAGGATGATGGCTCCTGATGCCTGCGTGTGCCTGCGTGTCGATGTCACCGCTCAGGTCGCGATGGGGAGGGGGAAAGAGTTAAGAGACCCCGAGATGTGATGCAAAGATGGCGGCCTGGGCGCGTGGGACGCCCACACCGCGCAATACGTGCATGCATCACACCATGAAGCTCTGCATGCTGTATCTCGCATTGATTGTGACTTGAGGCTCGCACAGCGCCGGCCGGCTGCTTTTGTCGCGGCCGCAGTGGAAAAAAGTCGCGCCTTGAGGGATCTCAACTTTTGCCATTTTTGTGTATAATAAAAATGTGTGTGTGTTCTTTTTACGTTATTGGGAGCGGTTGCCATCAGTCATGTCGTATGTCGCCATGAAGTGTGTGTCATCAGTCCCAACTCAGACAAGAGCGAAATATAGCCGAGTGGCCTTCACGGCGCGAGCTTGCGCACAGACCTATAGCGTGTATGTATCATTCAGGAACAATGGAGCAGAGAATGGAACAGGGTCTTCTAAGAGAAGATGCATGGATGCAGGATCTGGGATTTGGGGGCCGTGGCATGCCAAGTTGGTTGTGTGTGCCGCATCTCGTTTTGCTGTTTTGCGTTTTCTAGTCTTGATCTATCAAGTTATAGTATTAGGAAGCTGTTAGGATATTAGGACGTATAATATTCTGTGACACGTCATAGGTTTGACTGTGTGCATGGAAAACGGGAGTGTTCATCCTTTTAGCGGTCTTGCGCTCTGTCGCGGTTGGTGGTGCACGTGGCTTTTGGCAGCTTTAGCACCTCTTGGTGGGCAAAGAATCTCATGTTGTCGTACTGATGAAATGTACGGAAATTTGTTTGTTGCTCCGCATGCTATATAATGGAGGGCTAAAGGATATATGCAGCGAATGTGGTTGTGGTGGCCAGGTGTGGCGACAGAGTACCAAACAAGTTGTGGGGAGACGTGAGTGTAAGGTAGAGAATAAGTGGACGGCGACTGGGAGAGAGGTGCTGCGCATGGTTTTGCGCCTGTAGCGCGTGGTGGTTGTAGTCCTGGTCGTGGTCGTGGTGTTCTGCGGTATTGTCGATTTGTTTCTGGCGGCAGTGTACCTGGCGGGTTTTCCGTACAGGAGCATGAGCTTGAGAGGTTCTGCATTCCGTACAAGTACGTCATATGCTTGAGGAGGGGATATGTTTACGCAGTCCTTGTACTCACGGGACGGAGAGGGGAACGTGGAACTGTAGGAACGGCCTATGGCTATACATCATGTGGCTTGTGAAGTAGCTTGGAATTCCCCCTCGCTCCTTCCTTCATCAGTTTGAGTCGCGAGAAGGCTCCGAGGGAGGCCTCATCCTGCTTTGTGTGGTTTGGCTTACTTGTTCCGCATGCGTGCTGCAAACATGGTACCTAAAGTGCTGGAGGCCCGTTTTTTTAAATGAGAAAACGGTGTACTATTTTGGCAAATGCATACTATCGTTCTGTTATGTTTATTAATATTTTTGAGTATGCCAATTTTGTACGTATGTATGTCCCCTTGATTTTCTCGCTGCCATGAACGGCGTTGTATATGGGCAACGACCGCAGCGATCTGAACCTATCTACGGTCTGCATGTACGGCAAACTAATGAAGTCAACTGCTGGGATATGTATGTAAAGGAACACATACATTAATCATTATACTGTGGCGCCTTGCGATTAGTGCTCTTCTCTGTGCATTAGTTAAGGAGGCGTTGGTCAACACGCATCAAGGAGCAGACGCGGGTATGTGCGCGGGATTTGTGGGTCATGGCAAATCTGCAACGAACACTCATACATCGGTAAGCTCACACACATGGCGTGTCTCCCAGTGTCAGCACACGACTGACGTATTTTTGGCGACGTTCGTATGCTCAGTAAAGGTATGGGGACGTAAGTGTGAACTTTTAAAGTGTCAAGCTGTCCCAACGTGCTGAAACCAGCTGAAACTAGAAACTGGTATTTAGGTCGCCGTCTAGCTCTTTGGGCCAAAGCCTGTCCGTGATGCGGCAGATGGTCATAAAGTGAGGGGATCAAAGTCACAAATTGGGGGGCTCAAAACTAATGGAAAGGAGCAACATGTAGAGCTGATCTGCACTGTCATCGATGGCGCGTATGCTTGGCGAGAGTTCCGGAAAGTAAAACATGATAGCCCGCATTTTATTGAAATTACTGAGGTCTACAGGCCATAAAGTGGGGGTAGTGGGGGTCTCTTCGGTTCACGACCAACTGTTTTTAGTAGTCCGACTTCCAATGCGATCCCACCTCCTATGGACACTGACATCTTCCATAGCAGCCCCAGGTATTCCGCTGATACTATTAGAGATACACAGGTTTGTATTCAGGACTAGAAGAAGCGCTCGCAAAGTATGATTTCTGCACCGGGCAAAGCGTTCGAGGTCCCAGTTCCATCTTCGGCGATACCGCAACAACAAACACAGCCAGTAAATTATGACAGCTGCCTCGCGCTGGCTCGCGCGCAGCGCTATGACGATGCCGTTGGTTCTTTCGAGGCACTGCTCCGCCGTGAACCCGGGAACGATAAAGCCTGGATAAGTTATGCGCAGGTACTAGCACTTTGCGAATATATCGTGTCGGTAGCGGGCTCTCCCTTACGGCTATCGGCATCGCAGATGAGCAAGAGGCGATACATGCAACAAGGAGCACAAAGCCTTGCTTACGAGGCTTGTGGCAATGTACTCGACAGAGCTGTCTCTGCGAACCCACAATCGGCTAAAATCTGGCAGGCGCGAGGCCTTCTGGAGCTCCAGCAAGGCAACGCGTGTGAAGCGAGGGAGCTGCTTCAAAAGGCCGTTGCTCTTGATAGAAGCCTTGCAGGTGTTCTGAAGTGGAAAATAGTAGGGGAGGGCTCCGATCAGCCTGGGGAGTGAGTGCGGGGTCCCTGGGTGGGTCGGTGGGTCGGGCCTGGCTTTTGTGCGTGCTTTCAAACCCAACACTTGTACTGCAGTAGGCCACCTTTTCACTCGGAACTTTGCAATTTTGGTATGATTCTCTATTAAGTTGAATCAATAAGGTCTCATTAGGACTTAAGACATTCAAGTGGCTCGATATGGCGACCTTGCGGGTCGGAGCTCGGGCCCGACCGCAGGTTGCTTCTCAGACGAACAGACGGCGCATTAGCCCTATTGGTGTCCCAAGGGCTTCTAACTTCGTTCTGAGGAGTGCTGAATCGGTGTGTGGTTGAACAACTTGTTGGCGACCTAGTTCTTGGACACATGGAGTACATCCTTTACATCACCGCCCTTGCAAGAGAGTAGCGGCTATGTGCATTTGTATTTCGTTTCACTGGTTGCCTTGGGTGGCGAGCCTGGCTGAGTCATGGCTTCGCTGCATATGTAAAACTGAGAGCGCATTTGAATATACCGAATCCCGACTTGCTGTGCAAACGAAAATGTCGTGCCCTCGGTGCGTGCAGCGCCTGCAGGCGCGGTATCGTGATGTGACGGTGTTGGCGACTCCTGCAGGGCCATTGAGCCTGACCGCCGAAGACAACCCTTTCTATGGGTGAGGCTTCCCTGAAGCAGAGATCTGCTTTCTTCGCTAGCGCTTCAGTTTTTGTTGTTCAAGTTGAGCGTTGAGGCTGTGTACAGGTCGTGTACTCTTAGCTCGTGCTACAGGCCGTGTACTCTTAGCTCACTTGGCATGACCTTCCCTGGACCGACGCACATGCCTCTGTTTTCGCAGCGCGGAGGCCCTTTCACTACTTACCCCCTCGGGCGGCGTCGTGACGGTCGGCAACGTCATCAGGGGCCGGGTAGTGCTGGGGCTGCTGCGCCATCTGGGCTGACCAGTGAGTAGCTGCAGCCGAATGGACTAGGACGTGGGGTTTTGAAATTTACTCGTGCCGGGGTTAAACGGTGGCTGGGAGAATGATGACGGTGGTTGCTGTCGATGTGCTGAAATCAAATCAACCCAAATCACCGGTTTTCAAAAACTGCAAACAAGTTGCGTAAGCTTATTGTTGCCAACATATGCTTTGCAATTGCCTGAAGGAAAATATGTTTCCAGAGCGTCATCGTTGGCGCGCTGCGAAGATTTTTTTGTCTTGGGGGGAGGGAAACTTTACGGTTGAACAGGCCCGGCAGTTGACTTAGTCAACTGAGATTGCAGGTTGGCCTCAGCTCTGGGGTTGAGGGGGTGCGGTGGTCTCGTCATCCCCCAGTCCTCCTTTCCCGTCCGCCAGCCGCTTCGGTCCTTTGAGCATATCTTGACCCTTACTTGTCCCTCTACTCATTTTTCGGCCATCACATCAAGATTGGTTTCCTTTTTCAGTTTTTACAGGACAGTGCATCGTTATGCCACCGCTGTTTGCAGTTTTGTTGGGAGCAGGCCCAGGCCCTGCTCCTTGCGCAAGATCAGTTTGGGAAGGAGGGCTACAAGCTGATGGTGGTGGCCATTGGTGAGGGGTGGCACGAGGAGGACCGCGGCCGGTGGTACTGGGCGTGATGTCTTACGATCTCTTGGCTGGGTGGTCAAGATGTTTACACAGGAGGAGAGACGATGCTACACGGCCCTGGCAGTTGCCGCGCGATTGGTGGTTGTTTAATTTTCTACGACATGATTTTGTACGACGTCAACATTTGCGTGTTTTATCTGACTTGTCTGCGCTTCGCTGTTTGCATGTGTGTTGTTGATGCTGATGATATCATTTCATCTATCAGTTTTATCTCGGCGATGTCTCATCTTTAGATTTACAGGATTTCAACGTCACTCTACGCATTTTGAAGGAAATTGAAAACTCATGAACACTTTACAAGACGACGGACTTAAGTTTTTCTATCCACATCTACATCCACCACGCCTCTGGATCTATTTAAAGTCCAAGAGTTTCCCGCTTAGTTCCTAACTCATACCCCACTGCGGCACTGTCCAACCCCCACCCCCATACACGCACCTGGCAGGGAGCCCCGAGGGCGGCCGGCAGTTCTGTACGGCATTGCCGTTCCCTCCCGAGCTGCTACTGCTGGATCCGGAACCAAAGCTGTACCGCCACCTGAGTTGCATGGAGGGTGTTAAGGCGCTGTTCTCACCGCAGGCATGGGAGGTACGGAGTACGGAGGGAAAGCGGGGGGGTAGTTATGGGAAAGCCGAGGCGACGCATTGAAGGCGGGTGAGGTCAGGCGGGAGGTCCGGGGGAACAACGAAGCACAGATGACTGAGGCGGGAGGTCGGGGGGGGGGTTTGGTGGATGGAGGCGAAGTTTCGGTCACGTGCCTTTCCAAGGAAAAGTGAATGCGAATGAGTTCTTTACGTGGGCATGCCCAACGTACTCCTTGGTTTTGGTATGTGAGGCTTTGCCCCTAAAAGAAGCAAGCCCGGCCCATTTCCTGGCTTCGGGTATTTTGTACGCGGGTGCTTTCCGTGAGCGCGTTTGTTTCGTGCTTTTGATGTTTATTGTTACTTTAACTTCCCTGCTATAGTGTGCTCTGCTTTCTTTGGTGCGTTCCGTTGCCATTGGTGGTTACATGTGCCTACCACTGAAAGCGCACGTTGTGTAATTATGTAAACACACATGCATACACATGCCCTAACACGTATTGCCCGTATAGGCCATGAAATCCCGCAAGTGGGCGGACTTCAAGGTCGTTCTGCAGAAGTACAAGATGATCCCGCCCAAGAACGCGGAGAGCACGTCAGTGATGGGCGGCGTGTGGGTTATGAACGACGGAAAGGTGCGCAGTGCCGTCTGGGGCGGGAATTGACATGGCGAGGAAAGGGAGCGGAGGTGGAGGTGTCTGAGGACCGCTCTAAGAGCGCAAACTCGTGCTTTTCCTGAGTTTTGGCTAGCCCCTAAACCTCAGCAAGCACGAGTCCTTTCCCATCCATTACGTCCCCCTGCATATTTCGCTAGTTGATAACACGACCAACAAAGTCGCTGCGTCCTTTACCCCCCTGGATTGGCTTCCTTGTTCTCTTGGCCATATGGTTTTGCGTCGTTTCGTACGGCATGCGGATGGCTAAACGGTGCCGTAGGTGCTGTACAGTCACCGCGACGTGGGTCCTGGCGTGCATGCGCCTATGTCGGAAGTCCTTGCAGCCTGCCGGTCGGGTTCTGGCGCCAGCGCTGCTGCTACTGCGTCGCCGCCGCCGGCGGCGTCATCGTAATCGGCCACGCGCCGGGGTGCGGCCCCCACCACCTGCCGCTGCAATCGCGCGCTTCTTGCGTCTCGACTGTAGTTATGGCGGCTGGGGTGGGGGCTGCTCGACAGTAAAAAGGCATGGAGAAGGTGAGCTCTTTTTGGGAAGTGAGTTTTCCGCAGATTAAAAATCGTCCTTCTGTACTCTGGTCGGCGCAGTGCCTGATAGCCGACCACAGTGTTGCCGCCTCCAGCTGCACCCCCATTGAGAGAGCTGCGCTTATACATGCCGCCGTAAACCTTCCCACCCTGTCAATGGCGCATTCGTGGCTGCGGAAATTCCCACCTTCCAGAAACCCCACCTTCTGCGACCCTTCTGGTGACTTGGCGGCCATACTTGCCAGGACTGTTGGAAGGTGCCGGCCAGATTAGGGCACGCCCGCACCAAAGTTAATGGATTTTATGTGCATATTTGATTGTAACGCTGGTGCAGTTTAATTTTCCGAAGGCTTGTCAACGACGACGACGATGATGATTATACGATATGGATTGTTGTTGTTTCCCCTTGGGGACTACACATCGCAGGTAGAATGCGCAAGGCCGTCGCAAATTTTGTGCCCTCTCCTTCTCGCTGCATGAGGATTATGATCGCGTCCAGCAAAGCCAAGAATGACGTCGTATGGATGGGGATCAGCCAGGCCGCTTTGGAAGAAGGCCGACAAGCCGCTGCCTTACATCGCCCAACATGAAGCTCGACCGATGCCGAAAGCGTCTTCTGTGCCAAGCCTTGCAGCGTTTGTAGGGCGGGCGGCATGTCTTGCCCCTGCTTCTCTCAAGCTGCGGGTTTTGGTCTGCAGGCTGGTGGGCTGATAGGAACTGTTTCCATGGGTAGACTGGGAGACGGCGTTTTCGTACGGCTTTCGCCGTACGAGGTGCTGTCTCCCAGGGATGGTATGGGAGGGCTTGCCGCACACACGCAAGTGCACGCCTTTAACGAAGGGGCCTGCTTGCTGGCCGTATTCCTGAATTTCTTGTCTCGTTCTGATTTGATGATCTGACGTTTGTAATACGACGAACGGAAATGGGGCATTCTTGTGCTCCTGTCTCCCTTAACCGTATTCTCGTGGATCTGCCGATTCTGACGTGCTTGCTGACCGTGCTTGGAATGATTGAGACGGGAAGCGGGGAGTCCAGCGGCCAAGGGCCCTTACAATGCAGAAGAACATAGCCCCAGCCAACCACGGCTGCGCGACTGCGGCCCACCGGCCGCTACACCTCCACCGCGCTGCCCACCAACACTCCCTTACGGGGCAAAACACGCGCGACAGAACGACACACAACGTGAACCCAAAGAAAGCCTAACGGCCACCTGAACAAACGCACGCACGGCGACCCTAACTTCCTGAACCCGGACTGAGCCCCCCAGCGACAAGCCCCCCTCCGGAGCCTCAAGGCCGCACTACTAGGCGAAAAGACCCAACCGCAACAAAGTCCCTTCCCAACCCTCTCCCTCCTGGCCTGCCATGGATCCGGAGGCACAGCGCATCGTCAGCCCCGACGTGGCGACATGGATATCAGCGATAGCGAGTCTGGTGAGGGAGTCCATATGGTTCGAAGCGGAGGGGGTGGGAATGTGCGCCTGTTTCTCTCCAGTGAGAGTCCGGAGTGGTTCACCCCACTGAGTATCATAGAGCTGGTGCGTGTTCACTCCTGGCAGGATCGACCTGGACCCATGCTCGTCCGCGGCTGCTAACACACGTGTTGGGGCGACAGTGTATTACGATATGGAATCCGATGGTCTGTTGGAGTGCAACGCGTGGATGGGCAATGTGTTTGTCAACCCGCCTTTTGGGGTGCACGGTGGTGCAAGCTATCAGAGCCTGTTTTTCCAGAGATGCGCAACAGAGTACACGGCTGGTCACATTCACCAAGCAGTACTGCTGCTGAAAGCCGCTGTGGGTTATGCGTGGTTTGATGCCATACTACAATGGCCTGTCTGTTTTCTGCGCCAACGTTTGGCGTTTGTGCGTGGGCAATCCGGGAGTCAACAGCAGGAGGGAGGACCCCTGACATGGGGAGCGCGGGTAGCCAATCCACACGGAAGTGTCGTGGTTTACATGGGCCCAGACGTGCAACGTTTTGTGTCAGTGTA